GGGAAAGAATTTTTAAGAGTAAGAACTGTTAGGAGTGGGTGTGAGCAAGATCAGCCACTCCATAAGATATTTATTTCATATGCACACATCTCTGATCTTTCTCCACCAGCCATTTCTGCTATTATAAGCCCTGCTTCTTAACATTTTTATCAAGTAGCACATTCCCTCTCTTTTCTCACTGAAATGTAAAAAAGTTGTGGTTTCCAAGTTATTTCTGCTATGTGGTATCTGGGTTCCATTAGTGTTCAGAGATATGTGCCAGCATCAAAGTCCTGTTGTGCAAGGTGTTGTACAAAGGCAAAATAAACCATACATCAAAATTACTTACAACATAGGAACCTGCTCCTACAATCAAACACATGGGGGTAGATACCTGATAGGACTGTGGCTCCTCATTGATATAAGGGTGAAGTTACACATTACACTTAGACCATACTAAATCTGTGCAATGTTAAGCATTATTAAAGTTAGAAGGTGCTGTGAGTAGTCACACATTAAGGGTTAGTATTGTTTCTTGCCTACATGGCTCTGACTTGCCACTAGACAGCTGGTGAGCAGGGACATAGCTAGGAGCCAGGACATCCCTGGTCCTAGTCCAGGCCTCTGTCCCTGGCCCATGACGGGGGAGGCTGGGAGCAGTGCATCCCTGGGATGCTGAAGGACTGCAAATTGCTCAGTTTATCTCCTCGAAGTAGACTGAAGTTACCCTAACAGAAACTAGATAACAAAGTCCAGAGTTAACCCTTGCCTGAAGTGGCTAATTTTGAGATGCTGAGAGGGCACTTAGCATGAGTTAAGGAGTTTTAACCTACAGATACTTGTTAAGTGCTCTTACTATGAAAGTGTAATGTGTAACTTCACCCTAAGTTAGGTTCCACTCCTGTAATCAGTCTGGCTGTACTGATGTAGTTGAAATTGAATCTTTTCTTAATTTACACCCCCATTCAAAGGAGGTGTAACACTCAATTGAAAGGGATGGATGCGACTGAGGATGACAATAACTGGAATGTGTGGTAATACTCAGAAAGAAAGCAGACTGACATGCCAAATGAGAGGAAATGATCAAAATATATGGAAACATAAAGACAGGGTGCATGGTTAGGGTTGGTGCATGGTTAGGGTGCATGGTTAGGGTTGGTGCATGGTTAGGGTGCAGGGTTCCATGGTTAGGATGCTAGCCCCAAACTTTAAAGACTGGGTATGACTATTTTCCTTTTGGGAAGTCTCAGTGGATATTGCCAGCTCTGGTATTCCTCAGCTTCCTGGCTTAGAACTGATGGAATAATTACTTAAAAATTCATTAGGCAAATCTGATATGCCCAAACAAGTATACCTGGATGTGTTCTTCTGAGTTCCCCCTGCTAACACCACAATAAACAACATTCTGTACAAAATAATCCTTCCTTCCTTCCTCCCTTCCTGCCTGCCTGCCTGCCTGCAAATTAATCCTGTTTGGGTTTTGTCCTGCTGTGGATTTTTCTATGATCTACCAGTTGTTGTTTTTTTTTCTTTTTTCCCTAC